GGGGGCGGTGGGGGAGGGGGATGCGGTGCGGCCATGCTGCCGATTACAGGGGAGGTCTGGGCCTGTGTGCTGGTCTTGCCGGTGAGCAGTGGGGTCAGGTCGGGCAGCGACGAGGTGGTGCTGTGTCCGTGGCCATGCCTGCGGCCTCCGCTGCCATTGCCACCGGGTGGCTTGGGCTGTATGGGTGCGAATGCCTTGCGGGGGGCAGTGGGTGAGGAGACGAATCGGAATCGGTCGGGGAGGGGCTCGTTGGACCTCGCCTTGAGGTTGTACAGCCACTGGTTGCCCCGAGGGCTGAACGTCGCCGTCGCCGTGCCAGTCACCGACCCACGATGAACCGCATGCCCGCTGGCCCTTGCGATCTCGCCCGCGGCGTGGTGGGTGGTCCTCTCCGCCCTCTCTGCTGCACGCCAACTGCTCGGCTCTCTGTACTCGAATCGTGGAACGAAGGCCGACACACCAGGGGGGGACAGCCCCCTCCCTCCCATAAGAGTTGAGTAGGGGTGCGCCTGCTCGATCGACAGCAGTGACGGGGGGATCTCTGGCGGCTCTGGCGGGGCAGGTGGGTAGAGACCGACAGGCGGGGGCGCTCGAACGCCAGCGGCAGCAGCGGCCGCCGCAGCAGCAGCCGCTGCCGCTGCTGCCCCCGGTGCGGGCTCCATGTGTGTGGGTGCTGGGATGGCATAAGGGACCGGCGTGCCGTAGTGGTGCATGGGCGACAGCTGCACGCCGTAGTCCTCGAGGCTGTGGTAAGTCGGTTCCTCTGGGGGCGAGGACGACATGGAGGCATACGAGCTGTAGGCCGGGTGGTGTGGAGGGGCCCCACCCCAGTGGGCCATTTGGTACTGGGCCTGCATCTGCATCTGCAGCGGACCGATGGGGGGCGGGGGCGGCCGGTGATGTGTGAGGGGGAGTGCGGGGGCATCCACGGGCGTCTCGAATGTGAGCGACGGGTAGGGGATAGAGGCCGTGACGGTCATCGGGGGGAAGGCAATGTGCGGCCTGGGGGCGGGGGAGTGAGGGCCGGGTGGGGAGGAGGGGTGGTGCAGCTGCTGTGGGTGCTCCGTGGGGATGTCGTGCTGTGAGGCCTCGGACACCTGGTCGGGGATGTCACCCGCTGACGCGCGGCGAGGGGGGCGAGGCAACCTGATGGACGGATGGATGGATGGATCGACACGAACAGATACCGACATGTGTCTGTGTGTGTGTGTGTCTTACGCTCGTTTGGGCCTCAGTTCGTCCCATCCATGCGCATGACGACACGTATCCTGACAGACAGGCACACAGACAGAAAGACACGTGGACCACAGAGACCGTACATTTGCCCCACTCCCTGCCTGCCTGCCTGCCTGCCTGTGTGTGTTGCTCAGCTCACCCCTCTGGGGCAGTGCCCCCGCTTCCAGAAGACACACAAGGAGGTCTTAAAAAAATCGTCCGTGTGTCGAAGCTCCTCCGTCCCGTGGGCTGGCAAGGTAGGTGATGCACACGCACACACACACATTACATGGTCACAACTCATCTCATTCACCCGATCTACCCGTCCCGTCGACAGCACAGCTGATGTGTCTGTCGTGTGTGAGTGTGTGTGTGTGTGTACCGAATGGGCAGTCCTCATCCTGGCACTCTCCCTGCTGCCACAGCTCACACACCTTCGTCTGTACAACACACACCACACACCACACACACCATACAAAGAGACTCGTCATGTGATGGCTGGATGCGTGTGTGTACCTTGGCCAGGTCAGGCTTGGTCCTCAACTCGACCTTGCCTGCACATCAATCAATACGCACACAATAACACGCAAGCAGCATGATATGATAGCCGTCGATAGATTGTTGTCTGTATCTCCGTCGATCGACCGCACCGTGAGCATAGCTGCACACCAACATAACACAACACAACACAACACACAGCAAGCCATCGTGACTGACTGACAAGAGTGTTGTGATGTGACCGTTCCCCCTCACCGGCAGAATTCGCCTTTGGTACACTTGCCCTGCACAGACAGACAGACAAAGCAGGCAACACGACAGTCACACATCCACCCACCGAACGAAACGTCGCAGCCCTCGCTCCCCTCCCCTCTCCCTCCCCCCGGCTCACCGATCGCCAGTACTTGCAGTATTTGGTCTTATAGAACTGGTTCATCTGCATCTCGCCTCACCGACCGACGCAAGCAACCACAGATCCTTACGTACTTACTGCCCGCCTGACCGCGAGCCGACCTCGAGCGAGAAGCACGAGGAGCTGGCTGGTGATATCAGTTGTCCGTGTGGGCGGCCCGGTCGACCTGCACACAACACAGCCACACGCGCACAAGAGAAAGGGCCCTCGTCAAGTGGCACAGCGGCGTTCGCATCTGTGGGCATCTATCTACCTCGTCGGTCTGCATGTTGGAGCCAGGGGATAGTGCGGCGGTTGCTGGCGTGCCCTCTCGCACCTGCGCAGACCCCGCTCCCTGCCTGCCGCAGACGAGTGACTGTCTCAGGGCGCCGCAGGTTGTCACCCCGATCTGGCGATTTCTCGGCACAAATGAAGCTGCTCGACGCCCGAGATGAAGCTGCGCTGCCGCCCGCAGCAAAGATGCCAAACGATATTGCCCAGATTCGGCAAGCTCGCACATTCCGTGAAACCGCTCTCTCTGGAAATGCGAGCTTCGAAACTTCCCCGCGGCACATGAGATGAGTTGAGCGAGGTGTGTTTGTTGGGTGTGGTGTTGTGGACGTACGCGAGTCGTTCCACCGGCATGATTCATGTCAAAGTTGGAGGATCCGTTCACTGTGAGGTAGATGTGGAGGCGGAGACCATGACGCTGGCGCAGATGAAGCAGCACATCGCAGAGAAAGCCGGTACGTACACACAACACAACGCAGATAGATGGATGGCCGGCATGGCCATCATGGCGCACAGGCATTGCCACTCGCCCATGTGTCTGATGTCTGAAACGTGTTTGTGGCCCGGCCGCTGTGTGGGTGGATGGATGGATGGATGGTTGCTGTCAGGATTGGACAGCTGGAGTGACTGGAAGGTGATCAGCCGCGGCAAAACGCTCACCGACAGAGATGACGACAAAACGCTGCGCACACTGGGGTTCAAGAACGACGTACGCGCCACACCACACACCACCAAACAACGCACCAGCAACAGCACATGACAGAATGCCCCGGGTGTGTGTGCGTGTGTGCGTGTGTGGTGGTTGGTTGACTTGACCTACGCGATGCAGACAAGGATAATGATCACGTCGGCATCAGCAGGTCGTCAGCAGCTGGCTGCTGACGAGACGGCCCAGTCGGAGGGGCGGGTGGCCGAGAAGAAGGTGGAGCAGATCCTAAACACTGCCGCAGAGCTAGCGAGACGCCAGGATGCTGGGACCAGGTACACACACACACACACGGGAGGGAAGGAGGGTCTGTGTGGCGGGTGGGTTTGGTGCATGCGATGCTGTGTGGATATATATATATGTGTGTGTGTGTGTGTGTGTGTGCAGTGCCCGGCGTCACGACTACTTCGCATCGCTGGAAACGACAGTAGGCTGTCAGCCACACTCGACGCTACCGATCACCGCATGGAATGCCGTGCGTGTGTTGCGTATGTGCAGTCCGGCGAGGTCATCAACATCCCGAAGCAAGTGGAGGAGAACCTTAAACTGGTAAGGGGGGCACACACAGCACACCAAATCGCAGCATACACAACGGTTCGCCATCCCTGTGTGTGTGTGTGTGACCCCTCTCTCCAGGCGATGACGTTGGACGCCAAGGCGCGTGAGATCCGCAGTAGCAGCAACGAGGAGACCGCCCGTGTGCTGCTCGAGAAGGCCCGCGGGGCCATCGAGAAGGTCCCGGACGAATTCAGAAACATGATCGACAACGACGTACGTCTAGATGGATGGATGGATGGATGGAAGAGCTCTATAGGACACACCACACACCTGTGGGGGGTTCATGTGGTCTTGGTGTTGTGTTGGTGTTGTTTGCTGTCAGGTGGACATCTATCTGGATCTGGCGTGGTGCTACTTCAAGAAGCAGGAGCTCAGCCGACTTGACGACTTCGAACAGGCGCTCGCAAAAGCCGAGGTCACACACGCACACACATGACCTACCGACAGCCCACCACAATGGGGGCCTGATTGTGTGGTGTATGTTGTGTATGTTATGTGCAGACCAAGTTGCAGCGCATGGAGAAGCGTGACCGAGGCGACAAGGCCGAGATGGCCGCACGCAAGGCCAAAAAGGCACGGCTGCTCCTACTACAGTGTGAGCGAGGGGGGAACAGAGATTGGGGTGGGCTGCGCAATCCGATCCACCGTCTGCATGTCTGCATGTCTGCGTGTATGTCTGTCTGTCTGTCTGTCTGTGTGCAGGTGTGGTGGCGTTCTTCAAGGACCGCAAGATGCAAGCGGCCGGCTTCCTCAACGACGGAATAGAAATATGCGATGAGGTCAGTCAGTCAGTAAGCCAATCTGTCTGTCAGTCTGTGAGCTAGCTAGTGCTCTCGCGCACCACACACAACACAACACACGTCACGTTGCTTGCGTGCCACGTATATGTGTGTGTATATTTATGTGTATGTATGTATGTGTCCGTCAATCAGTTCAATGTGCGGGAGGAGCAGATGGCGTACCTGCAGGCAATGGGTTACCAATTCAGAGAGGCCAAACGGTGCGCTGCGCCAGGGGGGGGGGGGGGGGGGGG